CTTGCCCTAGTGTTGAAAGCTTGCCCTAGTGTTGAGTGCTTGCCCTAGTGTTGAATGCTTGTCCTAGTGTTGAGTGCTTGTCCTAGTGTTGTACGCTTGCCCTAGTGTTGAGTGCTTGCCCTAGTGTTGAAAGCTTGCCCTAGTGTTGAACACTTGCCCTAGTGTTGAATGCTTGTCCTAGTGTTGAATGCTTGTCCTAGTGTTGAATGCTTGTCCTAGTGTTGTAGGCTTGCCCTAGTGTTGAGTGCTTGCCCTAGTGTTGAAAGCTTGCCCTAGTGTTGAACACTTGCCCTAGTGTTGAATGCTTGTCCTAGTGTTGAGTGCTTGTCCTAGTGTTGTACGCTTGCCCTAGTGTTGAGTGCTTGCCCTAGTGTTGAGAGCTTGTCCTAGTGTTGAGTGCTTGCCCTAGTGTTGAGTGCTTGTCCTAGTGTTGAGTGCTTGCCCTAGTGTTGAATGCTTGCCCTAGTGTTGAAAGCTTGCCCTAGTGTTGAGAGCTTGTCCTAGTGTTGAACGCTTGTCCTAGTGTTGAGTGCTTGCCCTAGTGTTGAGTGCTTGTCCTAGTGTTGAGTGCTTGTCCTAGTGTTGAAAGCTTGTCCTAGTGTTGAACGCTTGTCCTAGTGTTGAATGCTTGTCCTAGTGTTGAACGCTTGTCCTAGTGTTGAACGCTTGTCCTAGTGTTGAACGCTTGTCCTAGTGTTGAACGCTTGCCCTAGTGTTGAACGCTTGTCCTAGTGTTAAGTGCTTGCCCTAGTGTTGAGTGCTTGCCCTAGTGTTGAACGCTTGTCCTAGTGTTGAGTGCTTGTCCTAGTGTTGATCACTTGCCCTAGTGTTGAGTGCTTGCCCTAGTGTTGAGTGCTTGTCCTAGTGTTGAACGCTTGTCCTAGTGTTGAGTGCTTGCCCTAGTGTTGAGAGAGGAACCAGCAGTGTGCATACAAAGAATCCAGATCTGTAAAACAGATATACACACAAAACTCAAGTTCTGGAACAAGACTAAAGTCCAGAAGTGGATGAACAACCAGAACTTTCTGCTGGAGTTTACAGCTGGTGAACATGAAAAATAAGTACATATATGTTATATTACAACATTCGTATTGTCGTATTTCAGTTACAACACCTGTATTGTTTTATTTCATGTACAACTGTTTGTTGTTTTTCAGTTACAACACATGTATTGTTGTTTTTCAATTGCAACTCATGTATTGTTGTATTTCAATTACAAGACCTTTATTGTTGTATTTCAGTTACAACTGTACTGTTTTTTTCAATTACAACACATGTATTGTTGTATTCAAACATCTGTTTTGTTGTATTTCTATTACAACATCTGTACTGTTGTATTCCAATGACAACCCCTGCATTGTTCTCTGGCAGATACACAGCCAGTATTCCAGAAAACCTGGCCACAGAGACACAGCTGACCATCGTCCAGCCTGTGGGACTGGACATCAACAGTCATGTGAGCTTCTCCTTGCTCAATCACCAGCAGCTGTTCTCCATAGGGCCCACTTCTGGTGTTCTGTCCAGCCTGGGAGTGGAGTTTGACCGGGAGGAGAAGGACAGTTACACTGTGGTAGTCAAGGTAGTCCATCCACTCATCTGCTCTCTCACTCTTGTCCTGCCTTGTCTTATCTTGCCTTGTCTTGCCCTCTCTTGTCCTGTCCTCTCCTGTCCTGTCCTGTCTTGTCCTGTCCTGTTCTCTCCTGTCTTGTCTTGCCCTCTCTTGTCCTGTCCTCTCCTGTCTTGTCTTGCCCTCTCTTGTCCTGTCTTGTCCTGTCTTATCCTGTCCTTTCGTGCTTTATCTTATCCTGCACTATCATATCTTGTCCTGTCTTATATTGTCTTGTCATTACCTGTCTTGATCCGTAATCCACACAAAACCTTAGATGTGAAGTTTGAAAGAGAAAAGGACAAGTACTCTCTGACTCCAGCCATGTGCTGTTATGCCAGCATAATATCTCTTCTCTGTCATCGATATGAGAGCGGCTACAGACAGGCAGTGGCTAGGCCACAGGTAACCAGGAGCTTACCTCTTTGTCTGTCTGTCTGTCTGTCTGCCTGCCTGCCTGCCTGCCTAAATATATGTCTGTCTGTCTGCCTGTCTGTCTGTCTGCCTGCCTGCCTGCCTGCCTGCCTGCCTGCCTGCCTGCCTGCCTGTCTGTCTGTCTGTCTGTCTGTCTGTCTGTCTGTCTGTCTGTCTGTCTGTCTGTCTGTCTGTCTGTCTGTCTGTCTGTCTGTCTGTCTGTCTGTCTGTCTGTCTGTCTGTCTGTCTGTCTGTCTGTCTGTCTGTCTGTCTGTCTGTCTGTCTGTCTGTCTCTGAATATGTTTCTTTCAATGTATTTCAATGGCTCTGTTTGTGTGTTTACATGCATGCATGTCATGTGTTCTTTTCTATTTAATGTAACTGTAAACAGAAGACTTGACTATTCAGCCTAGTGTGGTGGAAGGGGCAGGCCAGATTTTTACTGACTTCCTCCCTCATCCTTAGCATTTTCAACACCAAAACCTGATCTTGTTCATATTTTCCAACCACCGTTTAGTACAGGTCAATACTTTATCAATATTTCCCTATGTAGTTTACTGTAGGTTTTAACAGTGTTACAGTCACAGGTCCACAAATACAAATGTACACATTTTCAGATAAATTTTATTATGTCTAACTTAACGGCAAGAATCATAACTCATGTACACCATACATTATGAATATGCACATATTTAAAATGAACAAAACATTAATGTAAAATATAGGTTTCACTCTGTAAAAAGTTATTCAGATTTATTTAATTAATTATTAAAATATAAATTATTATAGATTGGAAAAAGGTTGGCGTCAGATGAAAGAGTCAAGACTGACAGTTTGTAATTTCTGCAAACTTCCTTGATGACACCCTTCTAGTCCTTGTCTATGACACCATCTCCCTCTACTTTCGCAAGCAGATAACAGCTGGGGTCACTTCCTCTTGCTTACTACTGTACTGCAGCGCTGTCACAGTCATCTTGAACACTTGCCAATCTGGGATGAAATGTTTTCCGACATCTTAAGATGCTCCATATACCTTTTCTATGAGGTCATTCTGTGTCACCATTTCCACAATATCATTGTCAGAAATTCCCTCCTTTTCAGTAATCTAAAACCAGATAGTTGTTGAACAGCTTCTGTATCAGCTGATTCAACCTCCCCACTGACAGTATTTGGGTAATACTGAACTGTCTTTTTCTCTGATCTAACCATCTGTCACTGGCAGTCTATTCTCAGTCTTCTCCTTCCATTTATTGCATCAATTGCAACTGGTTTTTGCTGCAGTATGGAGCCGGCAACAGGCAAGCCATTTCCTTCAAAGTTTTAATGCCACAGAAAAAAATTGAGGTTCCTCAACTTCTTTTTGCTTATCTTTCAGCCATGTTTGCCCGACTTTTATTCCACTTCCACTAGATTTAACAGTACACCACTTTTCAGTTTTTGCTCAGTTTTTCTTCCAGTCCCCAACTGTACCTTTCTTGACTTCTAGCAGGGAAGCAATAGTTTTTACCATTACCCCAGAGCATAGTTGCTCCTCTAAGTCACTACAAACGATTTTTTCATTTGTCTCCAATTTCTTGATCCCTAATTGAAGGGGAAAACAAAATAAAATAGGCAACAAAGGACACCAAACAACAATTTACACTAACATAACCAGGAACAGAAGCAGTTGTATTCCTCATTTGGCGACATACACAACTGGTTGTCAGCGACCTAATTTACTATATAATCTTTTTCTATGGCTCGCTAGGTAGGCCAGCTAACAGACTTCACTACCATATGACACACTTAAGACATGCACCTGCTGAGTACAAACATAATCTTTAATGTACAACGAACAATACAACTAGTAACACCTCAACCTAGTTGGCAGTTCTTATCCTGAATGCCGGCGTTGAGCAGCCTTTACATTCACTGGTCAACCCGAGCCGTTCCCATGGATCCCCAAGGACATGATTCCAAACTAACAGTTTATCAGTGCTGACTAAGCCGCCGTCTATTGCCACGCGGGACTCGGTGACACAAGTAAGGTGTATGGCCTAAGTGTGACTGGGCTGTGTTACCGCCATTAACAATGCGTGTCACACATTCACTAGCTGCTTAACAAATACTGCGTGGAACGTCTACTATACAAGGAACATTAACTCTACACTATCTCGTCAAAACATTAAATAGAAACACAGCATATCTCAAAAATACTAACCACAAACGCCATTCAATCTAACCATCACTAAAACTACGTTTACCTAGTCAAAGCGCTACGTCTCGTCCAGTCCAATGTTTACCACACAACTCTCCTCCAGCGAGCTCTGGTGTGACCTGGGCTTAGCCAGTTAACTCGACCCAGTTTACTCCGTGGTCAAGTTGCCCGGTCTCACACTGAGCTTTACTGAGGGTCAGCTCGTTCATACATGATGATGCACTATCATCAACTCCGTTCATCACGTAGCCGAACTAGCCTCTGACACTGGTAAAGTCAAGAGCAGGTTGCATGTCTCAACTGACATTATGCACACCGGAGTTGTAGCAGACACCCACTTGCAAAGTCAATGATTCCTCATTGTATCACAGATAAATAATTATTTATGTGTTCTGTAACTAGGCCAGATAGTAGATAAGCAGGATAGTCATGAGTTGGATAGTTGAGAGGGGAGGCTGGATAGTTATGAGTTGGATAGCTGAGAGGGGAGGCAGGATATTCATGAGTTGGATAGCTGAGAGGGGAGGCAGCATAGTCATGAGTTGGATAGCTGAGAGGGGAGGGGGAATAGTAATGAGTTGGATAGCTGAGAGGGAAGGCAGGATATTCATGAGTTGGATAGCTGAGTGGGGAGGCAGGATATTCATGAGTTGGATAGCTGAGAGGGGAGGCAGGATATTCATGAGTTGGATAGCTGAGAGGGGAGGCAGGATATTCATGAGTTGGATAGATGAGAGGGGAGGCAGGATATTCATGAGTTGGATAGCAGAGAGTGGAGGCAGGTTATTCATGAGTTGGATAGCTGAGAGGGGAGGCAGGATATTCATGAGTTGGATAGCTGAGAGGGGAGGCAGGATATTCATGAGTTGGATAGCAGAGAGTGGAGGCAGGATATTCATGAGTTGGATAGCAGAGAGTGGAGGCAGGATATTCATGAGTTGGATAGCAGAGAGTGGAGGCAGGATATTCATGAGTTGGATAGCTGAGAGGGGAGGCAGGATATTCATGAGTTGGATAGCTGAGAGGGGAGGCAGGATATTCATGAGTTGGATAGCTGAGAGGGGAAGCAGGATATTCATGAGTTGGATAGCAGAGAGTGGAGGCAGGATATTCATGAGTTGGATAGCAGAGAGTGGAGGCAGGATATTCATGAGTTGGATAGCAGAGAGTGGAGGCAGGATATTCATGAGTTGGATAGCTGAGAGGGGAGACAGGATATTCATGAGTTGGATAGCTGAGAGGGGAGGCAAGATATTCATGAGTTGGATAGCTGAGAGGGGAGGCAGGATATTCATGAGTTGTATAGCTGAGAGGCAAGATAGTCATGAGTTGGATAGCTGAGAGGGGAGGCAAGATATTCATGAGTTGGATAGCTGAGAGGAGAGGCAGGATATTCATGGGTTGGATAACTGAGAGGGGAGCCAAGATATTCATGAGTTGGATAGTTGAGAGGGGAGGCAAGATATTCATGAGTTGGATAGCTGAGAGGGGAGGCAGGATATTCATGAGTTGGATAGCTAAGAGGGGAGGCAAGATATTCATGAGTTGGATAGCTGAGAGGCAGGATATTCATGAGTTGGATAGCTAAGAGGGGAGGCAGGATATTCATGAGTTGGATAGCTGAGAGGGGAGGCAGGATATTCATGAGTTGGATAGCTGAGAGGGGAGGCAGGATATTCATGAGTTGGATAGCTGAGAGGGGAGGCAGGATATTCATGAGTTGGATAGCTGAGAGGGGAGGCAGGATAGTCATGAGTTGGATAGCAGAGAATGGAGGCAGGATATTCATGAGTTGGATAGCTGAGAGGGGAGGCAGGATATTCATGAGTTGGATAGCTGAGAGGGGAGACAAGATATTCATGAGTTGGATAGCTGAGAGGCAGGATATTCATGAGTTGGATAGCTGAGAGGGGAGGCAGGATAGTCATGAGTTGGATAGCTGAGAGGGGAGGCAGGATAGTCATGAGTTGGATATCAGAGAGGGGAGGCAGGATATTCATGAGTTGGATAGCTGAGAGGTGAGGCAGGATAGTCATGAGTTGGATAGCAGAGAGTGGAGGCAGGATATTCATGAGTTGGATAGCTGAGAGGGGAGGCAGGATATTCATGAGTTGGATAGCTGAGAGGGGAGGCAGGATATTCATGAGTTGGATAGCTGAGAGGGGAGGCAGGATATTCATGAGTTGGATAGCTGAGAGGCAAGATAGTCATGAGTTGGATAACTGAGATTCTGCTACATCTGTAGACATGTTTCTATAAGTGTGCTCCATTGTATATCACTATATACTGTCTGTCGGTCTGTGCGCGCACGCACACACGCACGTACACACACACGCACGCACACACACACACATGCAGGCACACACACACACATGCAGGCACACACACACACACATTGTGCAACATAATAAACCATGTTAATGTCACATGTTATGTGCACACCCAGGCCGAAGACAGCCAGGCTGGAAGTGGCCTGACAGCTCACGTGGTGGTACACATCAGCATCCTGGACCAGAACGACAACCCACCAGTGTTTCTCAACCTGCCTTACCACTGTACCCTGTCTGCTAGTGCTGCTGATGGCCAGGTCATTCAAGTGGTGAGTCAGTCCTCTTTGTTTGTTGGTTGATGAGTCCTCTATGTTTGTTTGTTAGTGAGTCCTGTTTGTTTGTTGGTAAGTCCTGATTGTTTGTTTGTTGGGGAGTCCTGTTTGTTTGTTAGGGAGTCCTGTTTGTTTGTTGGGGAGTTCTGTTTATGTGTTTTTTGGGGAGTCCTGTTGTCCAAAGAACTGACCAGTGACTGCCAAAGATGTTCTTCTTGCTCCTCATTATTGCCTAGTCAAATGTTCGGAGGCCATACAGTTAAGTTGAATTTTGGGGCAGTCCTCAGCTTCTTATGCTGTTTGAAAAGCCATTAAATATTATACCAGGATGTCTTTACCTTACACATGTGACTAACCCACAGTGACCTACCTATCATGATGTCCTTACATCACACAGGTGACCCATCTAAATTGACCAGACACCATGTCCTTACATCACACAGGTGACCCATCTACATTGACATGGTGAAAATATGGGGGTGACTGCAGTCAAGCAGTCACCATGTTCTTACATCACACAGATGACCCATCTACATTGACCAGACACCATGTCCTTACATTACACAGGTGACCTATCTACATTACCCAGTCACCATGTCCTTACATCACACAGGTGACCCATCTACATTACCCAGTTACCATGTCCTTACATTAAACAGGTGACCCATCTACATTACCCAGTCACCATGTCCTTACATCACACAGGTGACCCATCTACTTTGACCAGTCACCATGTCCTTACATCACACAGATGAGTGATCTACATTGACCAGTCACCATGTTCTCTACATTACACAGGTGACTGATCTACATTGACCAATCACCATGTTCTCTACATTACACAGGTGACTGATCCACATTGACCAATCACCATGTTTTCTACATTACACAGATGACTGATCTACACTGACCAATCACCATGTTCTCTACATTACACAGATGACTGATCTACACTGACCAATCACCATGTTCTCTACATTACACAGGTGACTGCAAGTGACCCTGACATTGGCGACAACGGTGAAATCAAGTACTTACTGGCAGACACACATGGAGGCACATTTGGCATCAACCCGTACACCCGGGAGATTGTGGTCAAACATTTGGAGGACAGGGACCACAACACGGAGGTGGTTCTGAAGGTGATTGCACAAGATAGAGGTAATTACCAGCATGTTCCACAGCTCTTTCTTCTTGCTGTCTCTCTATTATATTGTGTATAGTCGCAGATGTATCGTTAGCCTCTGTGGCTTTAGCTTTGTCGGTGGGCTTCATAATTCAGTGGGCTTCATAATTCAATGGGCTTCATAATTCAGTGGGCTTTGTAATTCAGTGGGCTTTGTAATTCAGTGGGCTTTGTAATTCAGTGGGTTTCATAATTCAGTGGGCTTCATAATTCACTGGGCTTCATAATTCAGTGGGCTTCATAATTAGTGGGCTTCATACATAATTCAGTAGGCTTCGTAATTCAGTGGGCTTCGTAATTCCATGGTGCCAGGTTTGATATATGTTGTGGCCAATTTGGCAAAAAACCAACTTGCGCTGGTGTCAACATTGGTGTCATCAGATCGATCATTCAGAAAGCAGTGGCAAACTACAGAACATAGAATTGTGTAGTGAAATCACAAGCAACCATAAAATACTGGTCTTGGTTTGGCAACCTCCTGTAAAAGGCCAAGCTGTTTATAGCTAGAAATTTCTGGGACATCTGGTCATGTCGTCACAGAAATACAGTATGCTTCCATGTCATGTGATCTTGTCATATCCTGCGGCTGTCAACATATGGACAAGAGATATCTTCCCAGTTAGGAATTCAATCTTGCTGGACTTTTTTCTTCTTCTTTTGTTTAAACATTGCTGTTCTGAAATATTGCCTTGATTTCCTTCCATTGTTTCCTTCTGAGAAACTGAAATATTTTGGCCATATTAAACACCATAATGGATTAATGAGAATAGAAATGGAAAGTTTGGTTTTTGGAAAAAGTGACAGAGGTTGACATGCATGAAGGTGGGCCTGATACACTGAAATTATGATACACTGAAACTGATACACTGAAACAGTGATACACTGAAAGAGTGATACACTGAAACAGTGATACACTAAAACAGTGTTACACTGAAACAGTGATACACTGAAATAATGCTATATTGAACTAACGCTGCTGTCTGTCTGCTAGGCTCACCTCCACTGACTGCAGTAGCCGCTGTCCATGTACACATCATTGACAGCTCCAGCCCCTTGTTTGAGCAGTCTGTCTATGATGCCAGTGTCCCAGAACATGTAGCTGCTTCCACACCTGTGCTACCTGTCAAGGCCATCTCTCCACACGGACAGAAGCTGATCTATTCCATCAGTCGAGGAGACCAGTACGGAGAATTTGCTCTAGATTTCAGCACAGGTACAGATCATCATTGTTACAACAATAGTTTTGTTTCAGTTCTGTTTTCAGCTCTCATGCTCCCCGTTCCACCCATGGCTTAACTTCTGTCATGATCATAGCTCAGTCAGCCAGTGATGCGGCTAGTAGATGTGGCTAGTCTAGTAGGCATCCCCATAGAATGGTCGTTATTTAACAGGGGAAGCCAGAACTGAGCAGTGTCCTGCAATCTTCTGTCTAATTTCTGTCAGATTTCTCTACCTTTTCAACCAAGTGATGAAGTTTTCAGCAGCGTCTGGCAATCTCCCTTCTAGTTTCTGACAGATTTCTCCACCTTTTTTTGACCAAGTGATAAAGTTTTCAGCAGTGTCCTGCAGGGAAGTCTGGCAGAAGTCATGTCAGACCAACAGAGCTGCTCTTACAACAGATGCCAGCCTGGTCAGCTTGTGCCAGGTTGGGCTGACAGTGGTCGAGGCAACAGACTCTAACTGTAACTGTATTGATTGTTTTTGTCAGCAGTAGTGCTCACAGCTGTTATTGCTGTCTTGATTTTCTCATGAAATGATTTTTAAATGTTTTCACACCAGAAATCTGAACATAGTTTCCTAAATAATTTCTCTCCTGACAGTTTGTTTTGTTTGTGGTTGCCATGAAAGACTATTTATCTACAGAGTTTAGGTAATTGGCAACAACAAAATTGTATCATCCATCCACTGAAGTCATCCATCTGCTGGAGTCATCCTTCCACTGAAGTCATCCATCCACTGAAGTCATCCATCCACTGAAGTCATCCATCCACTGGAGTCATCCATCCATTGGAGTCATCCATCTGCTGAAGTCAATTATCCACTGAAGTCATCCATTCACTGAAGTCATCCATCCACTGACTTCAAATTGTACACATAATATTGTCACCTGGTTAAAATTGTTTAGTGAGATATAAAATGAATCAGTCATTGATTATTTTGCTCAGTTTGAACATTGGTATAGTATTTCAGTGCTAATATCCCCATAACTTTTGTATACACCAATCCAGTTCTGCTGTTTCTTTCATTCAGTCACTTTAAATGTAGTTGTTGTTGTTGTTATCGATCCAGCGGCGCATGAGCTTTCGCCCTTTGGCCCAATGCCATGAAGTGGAATTTGCATGTTTTCACACGCTGTTCTTTTCCTCCGTACAAGGTGTTCCACTTGTCTGGTCTCGGAGGGAGTAGCGTTCTTCTTGTCTCACTGAGTTCTGGGCACTCTAAGAGATGGTGTTCAACAGTTTCGTAGGGGTAGTTACATAGCTGGCACTCTGGGGAGTGTTGTGGCTGTATTCTGTTTAGGCGTCCATTGAGTGGAGT